CCGCCACTGCTTAACTGCCGGCGACCATGGCTTTTGTGCTTTCCCCTGTTGAGCGCTCTCTGGACACTACCTCCATAACTTCGTTCAGAGAATCGTTTGGCAAATTTTGAATGCAGATTTGAAATCAGCATCAAAAAATACCCCAGCAGTATAGGTCCCATTTCAAATGGCCACTTCGACTTGGGATCCTTCCCTTGTTAGAAAACTGTTTGTAAGTTGCATTACCTCTGATTTCGAACAGACTAGCCAGGATTCGAGCATTTACGCACATAAACGCATTCAGATCGACTGGGACAATGCTCCACGTCCTGCAAAACGACTTTACAACCAGTACATATTTCATAAAAACGATTCAATTCTCATTCTATTGCCACTGCCTATATATTTAAAAAGAGAAAAATCATCTGGCACCTTCCTGGCTTTTGGCATATCAGAGCGCATTTAATCCAGAACTGAACCTTACACTAATAGCAAGGATAAAGGACCAAGTCTTTAGCCATAATCGATCCCGTTTTTTCGGATGCCTCCCGCATCTGAGTTCCATTCAGAAATCCTTCTATACCGATTCTAGTGATAATTAACCAATCCCGGAGAGATGTAAAGATTGGTTGGCTTAGGGGAGAATCGGTCCAGGACTTGAAAACGATCCACGCGAGTGCGATATTGCGTCACTTGCCATTTCACCATCTCTGCCTCTCTTGAAACAATGTCTCAGGCTAAGTGAAACCTCTACTTTCCATAATCTCATCGATAACTTCATCTGTTCCCCCACGTCACCCTATTACACGAAAGCTTGACTTTGAGCAATGTGACAGCACCCTGAATTTCCCAGCTTTATCACAGGCGAACTCCTAAGACTCCCTCACAAACGAGTATCAAGTCCTGTGAGGGTATTTACTGTATCCAAGAGAAACTAATTTATTGTTGCACTTAAATATCTGAACCAATACTAGGAAAGCACTTGAAATCCAACCTGATACTCTTCATGGAGTGTTTGTTTTCACCATCTTGAGCAAACCATCTCGTGGAAAAGTCCCAACCCGTTTCGGCCGCCGATGCAATTTCCGACCACATTTTCGTCTTCTCTTCTATATCTAAACACTAAAGGAAAGACACGAACAAAAACGAGACCTTGACATCATCTCAAAAATTTAGATTCCAGAAAAGCGTCTGTGAACTATTCAAGCCCATACCATCCTTTTGTAGGTGATGAACCATTTCGTAGTCCTCACGATACGATTCTGGTCGTGGAACTTTCAGCGTCGCTCTATACTGATAGTACGGGAATTTTTCAGTGCCATTTTCATCTTTGTAAATTCGAGATCTCTGTTTTATCCAAAACAGATATTCTTTTTCAAGGGTTGGTAGCACCTCCTAAAAACATGCAACATGAAGAGCAAGAAAAAAGGACTTCATGCATGGATTTAAATAAAAAAGGGAAAAATAAAAAAAAGAAAGTTGTGATAAGGAACCTACCATGACGAAATCCAAATCGCCAGTACCAAGGAAGTAGTCATAAACCATTGGAATTAAAAGCGGTGGCTGGGAACGTGTGAGATAGTATACACGGCCACCATTTGGCACAAATCCATGGCTAGAAACTGAATTTGAGTAATGTCTAAAAAAATACTGTAATATGACTCACTTATCGACCATAAACGCGAGATTTCTGATAATTCCTCTTGCTGTTTCGTACATCTCTGAGAAAATAAGGCCTTTCAATATCCAAAACGAATCCCTGAAAGTAAACCTTTCAGCGAAATGCAGCCCATCTTGAAAGAATAAAGCACTGAAGACTCACCAATAATAGAATTCTCTGAATCGTCCACCAGGTATAATGAAAGGATGAGGTACATATAAGAGTGAGTAATGATCCTGATGTCTACGAACATCGTCGCGTACCTGTAAATACCTACTGAACTTCTCTGTTAAAAAGCTAATTTCACAGAAAATTCTATTCCCTTCAAAAACACTTAGACGTTCAGCCCTGAAAACGCAAGAGTCGTCTGGTAATAACGATATTGACGTCTTTGAGTAACCATAACTTTTGTCAATGTTTTAAATATGAAATGACTCACCCGTCTGCACAGATCTCTCCAAATTCGATGTAAATGGAGCGCCCATCGTCGGTGATGATAATCGTGTATGTTCAGAAATGTTGAGGGAAAATCGACCCAATCGCGAGGGAACCACTCAACGAGTTCGCTTCCCGGCGGATTAAAATGGGAATTTACAAACTCTCTGAGTACAGCGATATCTTTCGTTTTATCGCCGAGTTCGTCGAAGTTCCTCAATGTTGCAACTGAAAACCGATTGTTTCTGTATTTTGGTGACACTCATCATATCATCAAAGAAAATTAACAAACCAAAACGCTACACTTAAGGGAGGGCGTGTAATGCAGCGCTACTTTCAGCATTCATTGAATCGACCCGCTCAATTTTGTAATGGGTGTGCCATGAGCCAAGATGTGCAACGATAGTCACTTGGGTATTCCAGACGAGAAAGCCAACACGGTGGCAAAAAGGTGGCATGCTCTCCAGCGCTGGCAAAAGGACCAGTCAGTAGAATACTAAAAATAATTTCCTTACGGGATATTGCTTGGCTCGGTGTGCACTAGTGTTGGCTAAACATGAGAGTAAAGAGCGATGGCTAAAAATGGAAATAGATGGTTCTTACAAGCGATAGCTTTCAGGAGTTCACGGTAAGAGACTGGTGAGCTCAAAAATGAACTGCATTGAATAATTTCAGAATATTGTAATTCAAAAGCATCCTGAATGGAAGTGCGCGTTACTGATGTACCTGCGACTTCATAAGCACGAAGGCGAGCGGTAGGGAAACAGAAGGCTTCATAAACTTATTACACACACTGAGCCGTTTATGATTTGTTACTTCAACACGAATACGACTAAGGTTTGTCTGAAGCACCGCTTATACTCATGATACGAGGAAACTAAAGGGCTTGCTATTCGGCAAGATGAGATTTTCTATGCATGAACGGCTTGAATGTTGTATTTGCAGTATTTCTCTAGAATTGCCTATAGTTCGATCCCCTTCCCCACATTTTCTGCTTCTCAGCAAACTTCCAAAACAACTTGAATCGATTTGGTGAGTTCCCTAAGTCACTCATTCCTCTCTTCTCACTCTCCCTCACCATACTGCAACATGACATCGAGCAGAGGACTTCACAAGGCTCATTGAAGGAGACAACCAACTATGACATGTATGCGTCACAGAAACGTATCACCAACTGACGAGGGGAAGAGCGGACAAGTAAGACCGGGATTGATATGAGGAATAGCAGGAATTCAGAAAATAGTTGAAAGTGTTCTTTTCGATATTCAGAGAAGCATTCAATTCGATAACTTCCGTACTTTTTAGAGCCGAAATTCCAGGAATTATTACGAATTAGATGTCATTTCGTGAAAAAACGCCCTTGTTCCAATACCGGAAACCTGGGCAGACTTTGCTGACTCCAGCAAAACCGACTCCATTTGCAAGGTGCAGTTTAGATTCCATGAAACCCATGAATTTTTTGCCAACAACTATCAAAACAGGTAATGTAGGCGATAACAAGTATCTTCCTTCGCCGCCTTTCTGATAAGGAGTCCCTGCACTTCCTCTTCCTTAGGTAGACTTCAAGAAGTTACCCCAAAAAAACCAGTTCAAGGGGCACGTTCCAGAGGAAGCGCTATCCAAAACGACTCCAATCCAATTAATTCATAATTCCGATTAAGATGATTTTGAAAACATTGGAGGATTAGACCATGGACCGTTAAGCGCTCAGATACTTGAATCAGGGTTGTATTTGAACTCTACAAAAACCGTTCATCTTTCAGAGACCCTGAATGGCATTTTCTATAACATGCCTGTTTATAGGTTAAAATAAAGAGGTGAATACGATAAGACCTATTCTTTTGAAAGATGTTGATATTGCCGCTTAAAATATGATTATTTCTGTATGGATAAATAACCCATTCTCTATATAAGCCACCTATAACCTAGTGTGTTAGTTGTTTGTGTTAGATTGGTCTATCGGACTGTCAGATTGTATGCATGTCACAATGTCTGTCCATACCGCCCGCGAAACTGACTATAATCATTACAAAGGTTGCAGTGACATATGGCAGCCCTTTGCAAAGTGATGTAGTAACGGTTAGGAGGAAGCTCAAACGGTAGCTCAGTGTAGTGCTATTCAGAGCACTAATGCAGCATGGACCATCGCATAAATCTCTACTTTACCAAGGTGATTCCGATCAATTGATAGCGACCAGCATCGATTAGTGGCGCGATTGAGCAGATGCATAAATTTGAAGGTAATACATGTGATAGTATTCGAACTCAACCAAGTTATCCATGGTACTTGAAAGAACCCATTAAAGCACTATGATTGGTTGATATTAAAAATTTATAACGACCTTCTGAGGTGCAGCGGCAAGTGACGCACTATCACACACGCATGGTCACGGGTTCGAATCCCGTATCAATATGCGCCTATAGCAACCAAGCTTTCTATCCTTCCGAGGTCGATTACTTACACACGCACATTCAATACGCCACTGCAATTCAGTAAGTAAGTAACGCCTTAACGTTAATCAACGCCTTCTTTAGACTTCTTTATCCTTAACGATCTCCTACCGTTTATATGACACTGGGAGTCAGAAAAAAGGAATATAATGGTTTGGTTTGGTCCACCTCAAACCACAACCATAAGTATAAGGACCCTTCAGACAACATCAGTCTCTCATCTGATTTCAGGCCGTGTTCGACGGAGGGCCTTCTACATCTGTAGAATTCAGCGTTACCTCTTAACCGCATTTCATATATCCCATCCCTTTCTAGCGTTTATCTTCATTTTGTCAGATCAATCAGCCTTGCCATTTCCTGGTTGCGATCTCGTTTTTGTTCTCCGCACTTGCTCATCCAAACTCATCCCATCTACCACTTTATTGCTTTGTTGACGACCCCAAATTACTGATGGGCCTCCGGACTCGACGAAAACATAAGGTCACATAAGGGAAAAGGAAAGCAAACCGTATTCTTATCATCGTTTTTACCATTTCTCAACGTTCCTACTTTTCCATTTTAATCACTCTGAGGCACGAAGTCAATGCATAACTCCCCATAGATTCGAGACGGACAAGGCCTCTTCTGACCTGTAGCCGCACGAGACACTCATAAACGCTATCAAACGATAAAAACAATAAAATTTGCAAGCTTGTCATAAACCACAATTCTCTCTGCAAAATCTTCCCGCTATTATTTGCTTTCGCCATTACATCATAAATTCTCCATACAGTCGATAAAAAAGTGCGAACCCATCGGTCCAGTTGTTCGGTGATTAATGTCACATACTAGTGATCACACCTTCGCTCTGTTAGCAGAAGAACGAGAGTAGAGTTGTCAGAAGTGTTGGGCCTGGATTCCACAGTTCACTATCTACAATCATAAGCATTAACTAACCACAGGTCATCCCACAACATTCCCTCACCCCAATCACCATTGCTTACGTGAATCAGTCTCCACTCCTTTGCTCCACTTTTCCATCATCCCTCCATCTCCTCTTCCAGCTGTCCCACTGATCGACCCAACAAAAACGCTGCCGTTGCACTTGCTCCGATTCCTTTCCTTTCTAGCGGATGCTCCATCACTTCGCACTATATTGATAAAAAGTACCTAGGAGACTGCACACGAACAAGTCTACACAAGCAGGGTTGGAACCCCCATCTCGCTTTCACTGTCTTTGATAAGAGCTTTCAAAGACAACCGACTCATTAAACCTTCGACACAATCGGAGTCTATGATACCCCCCCCCCCCCCCTCCCCACTTATGAATGATTTCACAAAGGTGCTCTGTTTGGCAGAGATACACACTTATATCCACACCTTTCACCCCTCGTTCCCCTTTACTCCCTGTTTTCATGAAATGCTCTGGTTCAGATAGTGCCAACACTCTGAAGCCAATGACTATTTGCTGGGTGATACAGCAGTTTGAAAAACCCGGACAACGCGTGTGTTGTAGAGCGCCACTTGCCACTACACCACCTCCACCGTTCAATCATTCAGAGATACTGGCTATCAACAGATGATTTCGACTTTACTCGTAAGAAATCTCAATGTACCCTGCCCATGTTTGGTACTTGCATTAGGCATTGAATCAACGACTGGCTTTTTATACATCCGGCTGTCTCGCAGAAACATTCCATTGTCAGCCCCTTTCAAGAACTTTCAACTGTAACTTGGTTTTACAAGAGGTCGAAAACCTCTTGTATAACCAAGTTACAGTTCATTTCTTTCATTGGTGTACTTGAATACAAGCCAGTTCTCTCGTGCTGACGTCAAATAATGAAATCCAAAACAGAATTAACATGAAACAAAGGCAATTCCGGATATTCCGCCGTTTCTCTGATCGGAGTGAGTTTTGTGAGTTGAAAAAACAAGTAATTGGGCTTATCATTTTAACCCTAATAAACGACCCAAATCGTGGATGTTGAACGTAGAACTATGAACAGAAGAAAAATGAACTCGAATAGAAGAAAAAGTCGCCGCTCCCCCACCAGTTTCATTGTTATTGTGTTTTGTGTCCAAAAGCCACCACGACGCTCCAATAATCGACTGAATGGGCCAAAAATACGACTCGTTTGATGGAGCGGTCATGTAAAAAATATCGACGCAGTGACCTGTAGAGGAATTGAAGGCTTAGATCCACATCGAGGGCCTGCTCAAGGGGGAAGAGGAGGGAAGGCCTATTGAAAAGTTGAGGAGAAGCCCTCTTCAGTTCAGACCACGATTTTGAATTATTAAAATCAAAAAAAGCCTCTCCTATTGAGAAATGTGTTATGGCACAAGCGGCGATGCAAAAAAAAAGTCACAAATTAGTTTTACATTGATGGCCCTTGATTTGGACATAAAGGAGTGGACTAGTCCCCCGGTATGCCTCGCTAAACAATTGCTCGGTCCATCAATCGAATAACAAGACCTGTTTCGTTTTTGCTGTTGATATGATTAAGGATCAATGAACTCAGAACAAGGAACACTAATTAACGGAGTCATTCCTCCATTATCTCTCCAAAGCAAATCACTGGGTGTTTTTGAGTTCATTTCGAGGACGCAGCGTCCAAACTGAAAAAGCCTACCGTATCTCTAATGAGCCTTCCTCATCCGAACTTAAGAAACCTACAGTATCACTAATGAATCTTGTTCCCTACTAACAAAAGAATATCCATTGAACTGGAAGCCTAAAAATATGTTAACTAGGCCTTTAATTCCCGGAGTGCAAAAGCCCAGACACTCTATGTTCCAGAAATATCACCTAGAAATCACTAGTCAGTCACTTTTCGAAAGTTGTCCTCGTTTTGTTAAAAGAAGTTGTTCTTGGTGGAAGAGTAAATCCCTCTCCAGATTACTAGGTATTTTGAATAAAGTAATTGAAACAGTTCAAAATCGCCACTAGGAAAACACATTTTTTGCCAATTCTGCGACAACAAATTTATGAGGCACCCGGGAAACTTGTCATCTTCGACTTCAACCAACCAGTCAATTCTAAGAGCAACTGTTGATTGATGCACGATTATTGCCACCCAAGGAATGCTCTCGTGATCAGGAGATAGCGTCAGCTTGTGGGATAAAGCGGATAGTTGAATAGCTCGCACCTTAGCTCCCATCAGATATGCCTCCGTATTAGTGAAAGTGCAAGCCACTTTAGATTATTTTGACTGTACAGTGGAGTAGAGAGAAGTAATTGAAGTACCAAAGCGTTGGTTCAGAGCAAACCCCCACCCATATTAGTTCAAAAAGGTGAAACCATAACGAGAAAACCATTTATCCCTTCTTATATTAGTGTGATTAAAAATTCAAGGCATTGTGGGGCAAAGTGCTGCTTGCTATGCCACATGGAAACGATTAGGTCTAATTGATGCTAAATTTCTTGATTTTTGGTGCAAGACTATTTTTTCTTAAGACTACCGTTTCCATCGGACAACGCCGTTTTTGTTCTGATTGAATCCACTCTGCGGCTCATGCGCTTAGGCGGTCGAATCAGGGACACAAATAAATAAATACATAAACACTCATGGAGTTTAAGCATGTAAGGCAAAATGAGATCAAAACCTTCCTGGGCGCGATTGTAATAGTTCTTGGTTTTCTTTTGTTTATGTAAATATTTCGTCAACGTGACTAGAGGAATTATCTGTGAAATATACAAGTACGTAAAAAATCACCGATAACAGTAGCAAGTTCATGCATAAATCACATGGGGGTCACACGTAACATTCTAGAAATCCATAAAAACCTACGGAATCTCAAGACCTTATCTGCTATTCTGACACTCCTATAAGTTCAAGTAATAGATGTAGGAAAATGTTCCAGCTTTTTCCGATTCACAGGCGTCGTTCTCCCTTTACGCAGCATCTGAGCAATACCCGGGAACTGGGGACATCTTTATAGTTTAGAAAACCATTTTCACCTCCGATCAAAGAACAGTGACCAATCTCCTCGCACGAGTTCCTTCTAATTTTTTACAAGTAACATGAAGTGTAGGCACTCAAAGCTAAGTACCCTTCACATCCAGCAGGCCGAATACACAGACAACTAACCATTAAAAAGGTCGTTGAATTGAGAGCGCTTTCAGGACGAATGATAGTTTTACAATGGTTTTCTTGTATGTCTTGAGGGCTCACTCGGCTATCACATTTACGGTTGGTTGGGAGATAAAGAGATATACTTTAAAATGCCAAAAATTTTTATGCTACCTGATCCAGCAGTAGTACAAGTGAATAAAAGAAATAAGGAAATCAAGACCCTCTTAATTCTGGGTACCACAAAGGGCATCGGCGAAAAACCTACATGCTCCGAGGACCTCTTTTTACTACTATTGGCACCTTTCCAACAGCTGAGCCCCGGACGGCAGATTTGGTAATGGTTTTCGTTCTCAAATCATACTGTTAGTGCTCTGGTCTTCGATCGACTACCACACTTTTTCTGACATTACAGCTGATTATCAAACACTGGGCTAATACCACACAGGAGGAGGTTTCATTGAGCTTTGATCTAGAAGCAAATGTGAACATCAATGATCTCTCAAGCTATGCATTCATACCAAAGTGTGGGACTTTCTTGACTTTTGAGATGGCACTGTTTGCTTCTGGTGGCCACACTAAAAGGCTGCCCACACGATTGCCATCACTCACAGCAGAGAACAACCTGTGGCACACCACAAAATTGAAGGAATGTAATGAATCATCTTCCATACGACGACAGGGTCGCTCAAAATCATAAATTCAAAAAACGAATTCAAAGCGAGAATAAAAAGACAGCGAGAGAGGGAAAAACAAGAAGAAGTACTCAGAGAAACATAAATATGAGTGTTAGCACAAACATCGAAATAATTTTTATACCTTTACGGTGATATGTTGTTATGTTTTCAAAATTCCCCCCTCAAAACACGTGCGATACTTGATTTTCACAGCCCCTTGATTGTTCCCGGTTGGGTAGGTCTTCTTTACTCGTAATTCCCCAGTACATCAATACCAGAATCGTGCATTAGAATCGTGACTAATCGGCTTAAATCGATTTTTTGGACCTAGTTCTTCACCTCTAATCACTGTCGATAAGGACCAGCTTAGCTCATAAGACGTACTGATAACTGGAATCTCTTGTGACGACAACGCACTCACCCACACATGTAGTTCCGAAAATGACCATGGTTTTCAATGTCTCGCTGACAAGTTGAGCAGTAAATTGAAAACTAATGGAATGGCTGCGGTATTATTTTCTTAATCAAAATGACCCAGCTCTCAGTGGTTTCCTGTAGATCTGACTGTTTACCAGTATTCCCTTTCATCTGTATTGGAAATAACCCTGTTTTCTAGTAGGCGATAATTGACTTGGAGTGCGCGATTAGGTGCGCGGTGCAAAAAGTCGTTCCATGAAGTCTGCGTCACTTCAAATTAACATCCATACTGGGAATGTTCAAGGTTGAGTATGTATTCAATTAATCACATCTGAAACCAATGCAAAGTAATCCTTGGAATTCAATAATTTCCTAATAATAACGCATTTCGAGGAGAGGAAGGCAGCTGCAATTCAAAACCCATCTGGGCTTAAACAGTGTGTACAGTCGTCACCATCGTAGTAGAGAAAATGAAGGAGAACTGGCCACGGAGATTGGTCAACTTCCTTGTAGTTTTGTACCTTGGTTGGCCCCAGGAACACAGAAGGCGATAGACACATATAATTTCCAATGTTCGTTAAAAAGAATGAAATTTTGTGCAGTACATTTCTATCGCGTATCTACATTGGTCTCACAATGAATCTATTTGAACCTAAGCAAGTTCTACAGACGGTCACCTATCCTGGCACACTACCGTAGCTACCGTACCTACCGTTCCAATGCATACATCCTTTCGCAGGGATTTTCGTGTGTAACAGCAAACACGATCATAGGATCACAGTCCACTTTAGCTGAACTCGACCACCATTTCAGACACCCATTCAAGTGACAAAAGTCCCCGACATTCGTGAGCACCTCCGCTCAAGACTTGAGTATTGACGTATGTAACAGCAAGAAAAGTGTGAATACATATTTAATGTAAACACTCCGAGGCGGGCACGGTCATCAAAAAGTGACCTTTCGATGTTCAAGACGTACCAGAGTTCTACACGACATCGCCCATCCAATTGCCCACATTAACTACAATGTTCCGTAATCAACTAGTTTTGGTGGAGGAGAGGGAGCGGTAAAGTTTGGGGGTGACTGATCACGAAGAGATTGAGAAACAGCTACCCCTGATATCTACCCCGGGGAATCGGCTAACTCAAACTTTCATCTTTCAATCAATTTAACGAGACAACTGAAGATTATGGTTTGACCGCTACTTCGCAAATAAGAAAAATATTGATATTGTTTGAAGCACAATGTAGTATACTGGTAAGGTTGTCCCCCAACGCCCACGATTCACCCGGCAAGTACCTCTCTTAATGTGATGGTTGGCAACATCGCACGAAAGAACATTGTACCTGGGCATCAAATCGAATTATACTTTGTTCATGTCAAACTTTGATGGCAATCTTTCTTCAGGAACAACAGGAAACCATAATCAATCGAACACCCAGTCGAATATTTCGAAAAACTCGAACACTAACAATGTAATTGAAGAATTTGACAAATATTCTTACTGCTCATTGTCAGTAAAGTACTGTTTAATGAGCTCTTTTCGCAGATGTTGATCCAGTGAGTCAAAACCCACATCCACCCAAGAACTACAACAGCACTACTAGGCTTAAGGGACGTAGAATGATAGTCACGAGGGCAATCAAAGAGCAACTTGTGCAGCATCGATAGCAACAAAAACAGTTTTCAGAATAATGAGTTCAAATCGGTGTCGAAATGACTGGGCATGTTATTTTTCCCAGTAAAATATCCAGGTTCTCTAGTGACTGATTGGTGGACGCTACTGAAAGGCCCTCTTCCAGCAGGATCAACCAGAAGAACAACCCTGAAGAAGTCACAAGCTCAACGCTAACGGCACTTCACCAAGAATCTTGTTGCTTTGCAGTTTTACCCTACACGTATACCTACGTGTGCCCTTGGATTGATGCATCAAAGACCTCATAAGCACTAAATACCGACTTTTTAATATATGTAATTCATTGCTGGCTATATTTGTTCGCAAAGGAATTTATAACTCGCAATAATATCTTTTACATTAAGCGTTTTTCTAGGTTTATGGCACTAGAAAGATGGTTGGCACTCTTACTTCTCGAAAAACTAATGTAGTGGCAGAAGATAAATCTCCNACCCTGAAGAAGTCACAAGCTCAACGCTAACGGCACTTCACCAAGAATCTTGTTGCTTTGCAGTTTTGCCCTATACGTATACCTACGTAAGCCCTTTGATTGACGCATCAAAGACCTCCCTGAGCACTGAACAGCGACTTTTTAATATGTGAAATTCATTGTTGGCTATATTTGTTCGCAAAGGAATTTATAACACGCAATAATATCTTTTCATTAAGCGTTTTTCTAGGTTTATGGCACTAGAAAGATGGTTGGCACTCTTACTTCTCGAAAAACTAATGTAGTGGCAGAAGATAAATCTCCCCAAGCAGTCCCTCTCACGCGTAATATTGAATGCTGAAAATTGCGCTGCCGTTTCTCCCATGTGGGATTCACGTGATAGGTGCAGGGTGCACTCAGCTTCGCAACTGTTCCAGCGGGACAAGCGTCCGCTTTTTTCATCAATGTTCGTATAGATATGGCCAGTTTTGAAATGGAAACAGAAAATTATGTTACAGTACATACTTGGATCGAACTTGAGCGACATATCGACGAAATGCTTCGAATCTGGGAACATAAACGAATCCTGCACCGTCCTAAGTATTGGTCCATCGCAATAGATTTGGCTAAACACATAGGATTAGCTGTTGCATGGAACGAATTTTGAAAATAAGGACGAATTTGTAAATACATAAGTAAATATAAACAAAACGTACCTAAGCACGGACAAAACAGTGTAGAGCATTGCCTAGCGACAAATAATCATACAGTCCTCCGCAACTTTTATATCGATGTCATGAAACGCTCCTTAACGAAGAACGAGAATCTGCAACAAAATACATAGGTACCGATCGAAACGAAAGAATAGAAACGAAGGAGGAAATGATGAGCGTATTGAAAAGTTGTCGAATCGATTGTTTTCACGAAAACTACGGAGTAAAGCAGTATGAATCGCCACGACGAGCTGTCAAAGCTGCTTCGATTCACACTGCTTTCAGCCTCAAAAAAAAAATGAAGCCTCTAATCGAACAAAGTCTTTAACAGGAAAAGGAAGGGAGGAAAGCCTTCGGCAGACATTATAGAGAGGACATCAATGACGGTATTTGGCGTAATAAATGAAGATACCACAATTGTCAGGAAGTAACTAGTGGTGAGTAAACATGGCTCATACATCCTTGAACTAACTCTGCTAGTAGCCTCAGCGTACCGACGTTACCGCACAACGATAGAGCGTAAATGGGAGGAAAACCGGTCGCTCACGTGGAGGATAATTGAATCATACACACCAAACTCATGTCAGAGAACACACGTACACTTCTAATCAGTCGCACACCTTCGCTCAAGATACGAATAGCTGAAAAGCCATAGAAGTTTTATAAAGACTCCGCCTTTGCAGACTACAAAGGGCGGTCAAACATGTCACAAGCACAGCCAAGCTGGGGATCAGCTTTTGGACTTGGGTTTGCCACACAAGGTACGATCAGGGATAAGCTATCCATACTCACCTAAACAGGCACTATTTCGACCCGATTTTCGAAAGAAACGTTTTCCTCTACAGTCTACAATCGATAAGAAACTAACTCTTGCTTCAGAACAATCATATCAACCGATTTGAAAAAGGCCAAAACTGTATTCAAAATAGTCACGTCTCTTTTATTCCCAAAGCGAAAGATAGGACCAAACAAAAAAGTTAAAACCATAACAAAACAATAGAAAAATCAAAGCTGATACCTCCCAAGCACATAAAAAAAAGCTGTGACCGTACCACAACTGCAACTTAGCAGGAATCCATTAGAAATGTAAAGCCCAAGAACTGGCAGAGAAAACCAAAATCAATGAAAATCAATGCATAAGTGTAAAACTAGACCAGTTGATCGCGACTAAGAGACCGCAATGGTCAGAATCGTTGTTTCCACGCATCTTTGATAACATCTAAGAAAAAAATCGTGATTTTGAGCAATGGTCTTCTCCCACAACAGCGACAAAACGACCAAGTCGAAAGTCACCTGACGGGAGGACTACAACGTATAGGATTCACTGGAACTCGCACTTTTGATTCATTTCTCATTACTCAAGTATTTCAAACATTTTTTCGTGTAAAATAAAGTTACTGAATACAAGACAGATTCGTTAAGTCAGAAAATTCTGAACGAACGTAACCACTAATGCTTATAGACGAGACAAATCAAAAGTTGCGGAAAAAACGATCGCTGTGAACAGGTTCGAGCGTAATTACATTAGACAGCAATCATTCAATAAATCTAAAAGTCTCTAAGAAAAGATCGAACATTTCCTCACAGAAATTTATTTGGAAAAAAGTTAATATGGGGGATGATGGATGAACGAGCAAATATAAAACAAACTAACATGAATAGCAAACACCTTAGCTGTTCAAATAAAAATGGTCATTGGAACGATCTCCGTTCTAGTTCGACGGTTCTCGTTGCCACACTTGTCCACTCTCTATCAATCAAATTTTTTTCCGAACGCCGAAAAGAACGGGCCGGTTGCAATGAAATTTATTGTGAGAATTCATTTAAGACTTTCATTTGGTTGGTTACTTACTAGTTGATTTTGAACTCGAACTCAAGATGACCTAGCTTTTCAGAAATGAAGGAAAATGAAGCCAATGGAATGAGGTCTGTTCGTTTGACGACTCATTTGCCTAAGGGAAATTTGATTTGCTTTTTCATGACACACAAGCAATAAAGGGGCTCCGAAGCAAAACGTCATTCCAAATAAGGAAAGGAAAATGTCAACGACTCATCAAGAACCTAACGTCGACATGCCCCATGAAATAATGATTAATTCTGAGACAATTTTGAGAACGTTAAATTTCATAAGAAGAAGAATCTGAGGAAACGGTATGCTCGTTGGACTCTGATCATGAAAAGCAGGAATCTTTGTCGATGAGATTGCTGTAGAAGAAAATGTGTCTGGATCCAGAAAGAAGGAAAGTATGAATAAATTTATTCCTCGACTTCTAGGTCACCGCCCGAGGTTATTATGAAAGCTTGTTTTCATTGCACTCATAAAACCAACATCCACCCCTATCAGCGAATGAAGTTATATCTCTACTAGTAACTTCGGCTCAGCAGTGATACTTACATCAATGATGAGGTGATGTTGGAGAAGGGTGGTATTGCCGGAGCCCAGTACCCGCAGAAATACTCGACTGTGCAAAATGTTGTCATGAGGTGATCGCTGATAACTTGCAAAAGACTGAACCAATAAACATAAATGTCACTTCAAAATGGTCTACTTTCACGGGAAATATATTGACGGACAATTGTTCCCAGTTACCCCTTCAAAGCAAAGGTAGAGGTAAAACGTTCCCACGACAAGAGGTTATTCCGCGGATACCAATCATTTTTCAAATCTGACATTGAGTGAAGCATTCAACAGTATTGGTCGTCTGATAAGGGAACATATACCCCTATCGACCCAGGACGAGTTCATTTTGTCGTTTGAGACCTCCCACTTTCAACGAAAACTGCTGACGTTACAGAAAAAACCTTTCAATGCCCACTAAAATACGGGCTTTTATTAAAGCAATCGAGGCATCTTTGGAACTTTTTTTGCTTCGAAAACTATTCTACAAAGATGAAATTGCGCTGAAACTTTTTGAGACTTCACGAAGGAAAGGAAACCTGCGAGTTTGCCCATCGATTACAAAATGAGTTTCAAGCCACCATCGGGGTTGTACTAGAAAAACTGATAATTGGCCCTCTTGCAACTCACATTGAAGTTATTTGTTTGATTAATAGTATTGGGCAAACAAAGTGAAAGCAGATTTTACGAAGCAACAGTAATATGATGAAAAGCAAATAGGAAAAGGCACATAAACGAGCCTAAAAAGTTGATGTAGGACAGCCGTTCCCTACATCTTGACAGAGGACAAGTCCCAATCCCCTTTCGGAATACCATCACAGTTCTCAGAAGATTTTTTTCTTCGCTAAAACGCTTTCGTGACAAGTAATTGGGTAGCTGCAAGTTGACAAATGAGTAACGAGTGTCAGGGCTTAGTCGAGAAGCCCTTACCTAGACAACTCCTACACAAAATTCGAGAAGAGTTACTTATATTCCTAAATGAATACCCATTTATATAGCACTAATAAGTGACCCCAAGATGAATCAGATATTACTTTTCGTTATGTGAACGTGACTATGAGTATGCCAAGATAACCACCCAACTCCTTCGTAAGGCGATTTCTTCTGTGTTACGTCTCAGCGTTAAAAAACATAACCCACACCTGAATAATCACAACATTCCATTTCAATAGGACTATAGCTGTCAAATGACAGGAGTACAGTTGTCAAATGGTTCCGGAAAAGTACGATTCTACGATTGAAAAGCACATTTCTCGAAAACATCGGAATAAAACCGCATAAAACCTCGCAGATACTTCTAATATCTTCATCGTAGAGCTTCATAAGAAAGAATTATGTGGGAAGGAGGAATCACGTGGTAATGGAACCTGATATTTTGAAAACAAGTGCGGATGACGGAGGAAAGTACGCTCCAGCTGCACTCTCACCGAAATAGCCCGTCGTTTGAAACAACCAATAGTTTTTTCCTCTGCGTCTCGACCCCAGGGTCGAGACACCAGACGGATGAGCGCGGCGGACTTAACCACGGGGACGGCTAACCGACCAATCACAGGGCGGTAATCAAAAAGGAATCCTCGCCCAGTTCACGTGAATTACCTCACCGAGGGGAAGGGGAGGGGAGAGGGAGGGTTATTTACGCTTACACGACTTCCGCCTTGTGGGAAGCTTCTAGACATTCTTGTCAGCATGGAAGTGAGAAAAGCAGTTAACTTCATCTATGGAAATGTTATAAAAAGTTATCCAAGATGACGTTATAACAGTAAATTTAGCTAATGATAAGACCTAACTGGAAGAAAAATTAGTTATCCAATTAAATTAGTAAGTAAAAAGGTTGTGTAGACGAGATACAAGTAATAATAGCCTCAGCAAACCGGCACGATCGCCAAGAAACTGCAGAGCTCCCTCCTAAGTGGCTTGGTAATAGGGAACCTGTCGTGATGACGAGATTTATGAGCTGTTTTGTTGCAGCCCATTGTTGATTTGGAGGTGTGGGCAAGTCGGACCGGCCTTGGTCGACCATTTCGGCGGTAACCCTGATTAATTATGCATTTAGTAAAGGTGAGAAGGTGCTTATCTATCAATCTGCAGAGTTTGATATGTCTATTATTACCCCAAGACCTAGTCCAGTTGTCAGGCTTTGGTGACGTTGTCTTTTGGATTACACCACAGGTGACTAGTATGCCAGCCAATCGATCAGAACCCAATTTCAGGATCAGGTGCTTTGGACGCTCTTTACCAGTACTGGTGAAAATGTAGTTATCTGTGATGGGCACCCATCACATGTTCAGTATATCAAGGAATGAACTCAGTCTAACTGACCATCCGCGCGCTTTTAGGCGGTTTTAGCCAAGAAAATGTGGTTTTTTACCTGAGTCCAAGAAGTGTAGGAGCACCTGGGTGGGTGAAATGATTTCCTCGGGCGAGAAGGAAGAAAACTTGCCCAACGCGGTGCTCCTTCCCTCCTGANCCCCCCCCCCCCCCCCCCTCCTAAACTACATTTTCACCCCAGTACTTAATGACCAACTGGGTATCTTGAGCTGAAATATTTCGAGGAGGGGAGTTTTCTGCTACGATGACCAGGAAAAACGCGATCTTGGCTCCTCGCCGAGAAGCCCACACATGATACGTGCACGATGTCTTATAGGAGTTATTATTATTTGAGGCTCAGGATCGTTGCCCATCACGTGAATCGAATCGGTCACGTAGAGGGCCGTGTCCCACTGGGAGAGACTCGAGACGACGATGCGACACGCCCACCGACGCTCTGGAATGCTACGTCAAATGTACTAGTTATCTCAATATCACATGCGCGGCCCGTAAGATTAGCCACGAAAGCTCGTCCATAGCGCTCGATAGTAGCGGTAGACCATAGAACAGTAATCACTCAAGGTTCACTTGGATCAAGGGTGGGCTGAACCAGCTATCTTATCAGGATTCAAAGAACTAATTACGATGCTACAATATGCCACGGCAATGGGAATAACTTCGCCGGGTGTCGATTTAAATTCCTATAAGGGTGAGTGGGAATACCCCACAAGTCAGTGTCAGGATTCCCGATAGGTATGAATAAAAGTATAGCAGGTCAAGGTAGGGAGATTTTTCAAAGAATGTGGAATTCTCAGGACACACAGTTACTCTCAAAATGGCCTATTTAGAGGAACTTTGCGTACATACTATGCACCACGAACCGCAGTAGTATAAACGTGACTACTGCTAAACAATTCTCAAAATTCATGTCCAAATAACCAGCCTTTTTTGACGTTAAAACTAGCCAACGTTGACGGGTCGCCAGCGGCCTCTTTCCATGCCCCGCCCACTGGACGAGTTGTTTTGCTGCGCGGTTGAGAGCCACGACGATTAAGTTCATTTCTTTTTTTCACGTTGCTAGAGTAGGTAAGGTTTACTTGTGTGCTCTTAATCCTTGTGAATGTTTGTGCTGTTCTTCCTAATCGAAGGTTTCTGACTCCTGACTCTCTCAAGTACGCTGCTGTTTCTTATTTATACTATAGAAATAGACAGATTGATTTTTGCATGAACGTGGTTGCCATTTAGGCCCTTTTTCTCGCAAGCTACATTTCTTTTGTGTATTTTCGGAAGCATTTTGTGCCTTTTATCTTTTTATATTGTTAACCGGGGTTCGCTTCTATAGCCAATGGTTGGCTATAACGGAAAGATTCCCTTTCCACAATCGTATCACTTCCTCATACCCTCAGTGAAGACTTTATAGTCTCTATATATAGTCTTTTGTAGCAAATTTCGTTCAGGGCAAGGTGCGTATAATGGTGCAGGCTGTTCAAGTGATTAAGAAACTTCTCGATGATTATCAGAAGTCTACGCCGTCAAGACTCAAGATTATCGACGCCTATATGGTCTATATATTGCTTACAGGCATTGCACAGGTTTGATTTTTGAACGATTCTTATGAATGACTAGCTTTCAGTGACTCCCGTTAATGTAGTCCTACCGGGCACCATACCATTGTCCGCCCTCATTTTTGCCCATTATTATGTAGTCGAGCGTCGCGTTTATGCCGGTATTACTGAGCGGATACAGCAAATCTGAACCCGTTAGGTACAAGGGAGGCTTGTAATATTTGGTAAAACTGTAACTTTGAAATAATCAACGCACTCGCCCTTTCCAGGCGCTTTTGAAGTTCATGTCATCCGCCCTGAGTATGACATCCCACTACTTTGGTTAGTTTTGTCCATAGCGACTGGGTACAGACTTACCTAGATTTGAATGTCAATTGTGGTTAAAATGTCCGGTTTGAGCTAGTGACAACGGTGTAGATCTCAGAGACGCTCTTACTCGAGGCACTCCTTTCGGGGTTTTCAGTTACCCACGACTTTCATTCATAATAAAAATTCTTTTAGTTTGTCTACTGTCTGTTGGTAGGAACCTTCCCGTTCAACTCGTTTCTTTCGGGATTCATCTCAACAGTAACTTCCTTCGTTCTTGCATGTGAGTTCTTACATATTGATATATTCTTGATAGATTCTTTACCACACTTTTTCGTGATTAAAGATGGGTATGCAAAGGTTGGCCACTTATTTTTCCATGAAAAAGTTTTGTTTCGACGAACAAAGACTGCGCTTTTACTTTTACCTTTGTCGGCACTTGAGTACCTTTGTCGGCACTTGGGAAGAGGGAGTTGAATTCGATGTGGCTCAAACAATTCTCTTTTGGGTGTGGGCTCTTTTTTTTCTCTCTCTCTTTTTTTACATCTCTTTTTCATCTCTCCATCTCTTTTTTTTACATTCGTATTTTTCTATTTTGGCCGGGCAGTTGAAAACGTTTTCTAATGCTAGAGCAACATCTGGTGGTGACGCCGTCATTCTGAATGCCTTGAAAGTTGGAATTACAGAGTTGAGGAACATTGACAGTATGTGATTTTTCCGCTGTCGAGTTCCACGAAACTTTCAAGTTACCAGTAGTTATTGATAAATTGCAATTGGAAATAATTTCGATGATCATAGAAAATATTATGTTAATAGTGATAATGTTATCCGTTCAAAAGCTCTTACTAAAACAGCGCTTGGCAAGAGCTGGTGGTAAACTCTTGAATTGGCTCCGTATGGGAAGTGTAGAAATTTCACTAGAAGCTCTTCGCTGAAACTACCTTGGCTTCTGTAGAGCATAGCTTGAACTGTGCTGCATGCACGCCAAGATAGTTTTGTCAAAAAGCTATCTACTGAAGGAGCCGGAGTTCTTAGAAATCTTCGGAGGCAATGGATCTGAATCGATTGTATATTACTGAGCAGCTTTTGAACGTCAAATCGCTTACCTTTTTGAACCATCCAAGACGAAAATGGGTTTTGGGCTGTGAAAAAAGTTCTTGAGTTTAGTAGTCGATAGCCGAGCAGTTGTAGTGTCTCAATTCCGCTTTGCAAGTATGGTTTATTTATAACTTTTCAGCTTGCCTCCGTACGCAAGTAAATGAGGAAAATAAGTCAGAGTTTTCCCACATTTCTCCCGAGCGAGCCTTTGCCGATTTTATATTCGCTCACGTTGTTCTACATCTGGTTGTTGCAAATTTCCTGGGTTGATTGTGATATTTCATTAGTTAGTTTCCACGAGTAACAAACATCTGTGACTGGAAGATATTTATAAGCTGTTAAGGGTTTCATATTGCTTTGTTAGCATGAGTTTTTACAGACGCTTTTGTTTAGTCATATTGTTTATTTATTTCTCCAACTTTACGCGATTGTTATTGCTTTCCGCATATGTTGTTTTTGATTGGGAATAAATAAGTTCGGATATAGTTTTTCTTTAATTCACGCGTTTATTCGCTGTGATACATTGCATTTAGTATTGGAGTTTACTTATGAAGTCGGTTATATATGTTTTTATAACTATAGAATCATTACAGGTTATTAACGAACTAACAAGATGTACATGAAGCCGATGCAACTCGTCAAGAATTCTCTCATGAATTCTAACTAGTAAGTTTATTTCTATAGTAGAAGTTGCTTAAAGTAGCTGCAGGTAGGCATGGGCTGTGACGTTAGCGTATGTTATAATGGATGCTGGGATCTCAAAGCGTTGTGCCCTACTTTGCTTGCAAGAAAAGTCATTCAAAAATTATAGTTGGTGGTGCATAATTCTTCGTAAGGCTTGATCCATATGCAGAATATTGACTGACATACAGATGGATTTTCCGTTGGATTTCTCATGGCAGAGTAGTTGCGCGCATGGTTCTGGCAATTTGACCCTGTTGTGCGTCATTTTCTACCACTCGACTTGCGTTGCTATGCAATTCGTGTTCCCCTCCTACCTGCTTATTGTGCTTAGCAGGAGTGAAGCGGAGCGGGCCTAGTTCTGTTGTTACCCTAGTTGCTGTCTCTATATCATTTCAATAACCAACATTGCGCATAGGTGAATCGTCTATCAAGATGAACACTTGTTTTTATGCCTTGTTGAGAGAGTGAAATCTTGCGAATGTCTGATCTTTTGCTTGTCTTTATGTGTTGTTGGAATAGAAATCTCGCGAAGCTCTGTCCTTTTGATGAATAGTTGATGAGTTGCGTTTGGCACTCCATTGATGCTTGATCAAAAGAAGCCCTACCCAATCATAACATCGAGTTTTAGCGCCCTTTTGAATCATTTAGGGCTTGGACGCGAAGAAGGAGGTAGCCGACTTCGCGAGCCCATCATAGCGCTTAGGAACGTTCCACAGCCGAGATATATGTTTATCACCTGAGACAGAGGAGAAAAGAGGCTCCAGGTTTTGTGAGCCGATTGGATGTTCAATTCTTACTCCATCTCAGCTTTTCGCCCGAGTTACCAGACTACCACAGCTACCTCACCCACCCTGAAGCTGCTCCCCTCCCGAAGTTTAGGTAAAATGAATATTCCCAAAACCATCTCTAAGCACAAGTAAGGTGGCTCTTTAGTTCAGGTACTCAGTAGCCCAGCTTCAGTACTCAGGGCGCTTTCCCCCACCTCCAAACTACATTTTCATAGGTTCACCTTCTAATCTAATGTTTGTCCCTTCAGTATACTTTAAACCCATATCTTTTGGGTATGGGAAGGTTCATTCACCATGTGACCCTTATCCACATGACCTCGAACAAATGAGATCAGCCCTTCCTACCACAGCTATATTTACTAATCGATTTTCAGTTATACTACTTATGGAGCATACGGAATATCTGGATTTATTATGGCAATCTACTTCTGCGAGTGGAAACAAGTCGGCCAATATATTCCGCTTTGGAACAAACGATATTCCACTGAGTAGAACCTCATCGTACAGAATCTGTATAATGAAACCTGTAAGATTGCTGTATGTCGAATAGTTTACTGACGATAAAAAATTAGTTCTACATGTGTTCTTTTGCTTCATATAAAGTCAAAGCGTACAATAATTTCTTATCCCACATACTTGTTTACGTTCAGTTGCAAAAAGTGTTTCCCATGTCACATCAATTCGTAATCGTTTCCCCGTATCATCGATTGTGCCGAAGAAATCATCTCTGAGTAGGTTGAGAATAAGAATAATGACAATGCAGCGAAATGACTCATGGCTCTCCACCTCGATGACTAATCCGGTCGCTGTTGCCGCCACTTTTGGGAAACCTGTTTTTCACTGATCAATGAGCAATTTATGGCCGAGAATTTCGAAATGTGTATAACGGAGGCACACTCATCTCTCTTTACTCTACTACGTATTGTCAATAGAAAACTCGTTTACCCGATCATCAACCGGCCGGTTTCCTAAACAACATCATTTTTCTCTCGTGATATTCATATATTATCGTGTTTTTTTCTCGAACTTTTCCCTAATTGTTTGCCATAGGAAATGCTCAAGTTCGTATTACGGTTGTCTGATACGGCACAAGCGGATGCGTTATTCTCTGAAGCATATGCTTGCCTAGATCAGGGCCTATGCTATGAAGAAGAAAATGACAGGGTCAGTTTTTATTTGGTCACTTTCATTGATTCCTGTGGAATTGGTGGTCGTTAATCTTGGTGAAATTTTTTTTAACATTAGCTGTAAACATGCAGTCACGTAATGCTCAAAGGTTTCTAGTACCTCGTTTCTTTAAACACAAAGAAGCCTTAAATTACAGGAGAATGCCGCATCCATGTACGAACGCGCGCTCAATCTTATCGCGGAAGCTGAGAAAGCGAAGAATGCCAAGAAAAGTGAGCTATATAAACACCTCATGGAAGCGAAGCCCAGTGCGACTCATCGGTAATTTTTCTCTGCTAGTATTCGCCTTTTGCTCTCAAGAGCCTCTTTGCAGACTGAAGGTTCTGGAGAAAGAAATTGCCGAAAACAAATCGAAGCAAACCGAAGCTGACGGTGACCAAAAAAATGAAGAGGTGTGTACTCTCAAATGTTCACTTCAGATTCGCTTATCTTATCATGACTGCTTCAAGAATTTCCTTCTTGCATATTATTCTTACTATATCAGTTTGTTTGAATCTAACAGTCTTCCTATGAATCAGGTAAAAATTGAACTCCGAGATTGTTTGGAAGGAGTTGGAGATGCTGAAGCTGATGTGATTTTCTCGATTCCCGATGGAGTTCAGCTTTTCACAATAGATGTAGGTCGTTTTCAATTTTGCTTTGTGTGCAGCTGCGCACGGAGCGTGTGATAATATTCCTTCGAGCTACATGTATCTCTCTTTTTAAGGGAGAAGAAACTACTGTGCCAACATACCCGACATCCCTCCAAATTCTTCGGTTCAACAAAGACGAATCTGCTTCAAAGCTTTCGAGCGCTCCGGCGGATGCATTGATACAGGTAAGATTTGACTTTAAAATCGTTCAGTAATTTAATCAATGCCTATTGTGCAGAATACTTTCCTCGGCTTATTGCGCTGGTGTTTTTTCTCTTATTCTGCATTATTGTGTATGGTTGTGCAGTTGCAACAAGTATCACCGATCTAACTAACGCTCATCTAGTGCTAGATACCCATTTTTCAGGTCGGTCCATGGGTTTACCCTTTGATAAAAGGGAAAACCCCTGTTTTACGCAATGACTTCGGTGCTTACGTTGTTTCGAATCCAATTCCAGATAATCCAAGTGAGTTCTAGCTGGGTTATGATATTTATATTTATGCTACATTTCTGAAAGTTAGGAGAGATTGGCTAAACTTCTCAGTTTGTCTTCAGTTTCCTTATTGCTTGTGAAATCCTTAATAAAAAGAAACTGCAGGAATCAAGAGGGCATAGCCAAAGCCATAATACAGTTAAGCTCGGCAAAAACTGATTTCATCGGGAAGCAATTTACTTTGTAGAAAACAACTTAAAAGCTTCGCTAGTATCTGATTTTTGAATTCTCAAGCAGCTGTAGACTTGACCTCTGTGCATATCAAGTTTTCAGACCTAGCCGTAGCTATCATTCTTCCGGCTGATGCGGGACCCACTGTTGAGAAAGAATTTCGCGAGGTAAAGATAACTCCCTATATCAGTGATTCATCTCTTAATTGCTGGTTTAGATTCTGGAACAATTTGCAGACGTCCGGGATCAGGAGGTGAAAAAGGAGCTTTCCGAGGAAGATAGAAAACGTATCAGCAAAAAGATTGCGAAACTATTAATTGATGGTTAGTTGTCATAATTACTCGGAAATTATGGTATTTCTGAGGATTTTGAGTAATGTTATATTGTAGTTGCGAGAAGGAGTTCTAGGGTGGGTAAGCCAATTGGATGTCAACTCTTACCCCTAACTCAGCTTTTTGCTCGAGATAATCATCTCACCCACCGCGGAGCTCCTTCCTATCTAGAAATTAGGTAAAAGCAGTACTATGCTGGCCATCTATAAAACCACCTCTAAGTTTAAGTATGGTTAGCTACCCCTCCTAGTCTGCGACCCGCCTTCTTTCATTCAAAAGAGCGCTGCTGATTAAAATAGTTTTCAAAAGGGCGCCACCGTTTAGAACGGATTTCAAGTGCGTTTAATCCGAACATGAGTCGCATGTGTTAGCGAACAAGTCGCCGCTCCAGCGCTTTCCGCATTTTGCCTTTAAGCAAGCTAAAAGTGTGAAGTTGGTCAATGGGATTCACTCTATGTAGACCAGCGTATACAGGGTGCGCCATAAATATGGTAACAAAAGAATTGGGCTACAAAAAGCGCAGCTCATATTGATACATGGTGAATTCATGTGGGTTATTTACTATGCATCACATCTACAAAACCAACACACGGTCATCTTATATAACCGTCTCCTGTACTAATTATAGCTCGAAGACGCTTCGGCTACTCATCGATGGTGGCACGCAGTTTCTTGAGAAACACTAGCCCGGGCTTTTTTCATTGATTTATCAGGAACAGCAACAGTGGTGCGTTTTGAAGCGCAGGCTTTCCTCTCCAGTATGGACTATATCCAGCTACCCATCACGCTGTGGTCCGGGAAATTCGTAGGAGGATTGGAAGCAGGGACAAAATCGCGAACATCCCCTCAGCACCCATCTTCCCATTTTCCCATTCGTGAGCAAGTGCGCCGTGTATCCCTGAAAACATTTTTGACTCACAGCTGCAACCTTTCAAAAAGACCCTTCCTAAAGAGTTTTGGATGAAACTTTTTACTTTTTTCGACCAAAATTTGAGACATCGCTCTGATGCTAGAGATTCTAGCAAAGACTGTCATCAAAAAGGGAAAATGGCTATGAGAGGCGATCTAACCCATCTCAGTGGCTACAGCATTCAAATTGTGAAATATATGTATACTATGAGATC